CATGATTATTCATTCACCTGAATCAGAGCAGTGAAACCAAGAAACGACCGGAAACTATGTTGCTCGGTATCGACTGCAAAAACATTTTCTTTCGACAATGTTTCCGCAAGTTCCTTCAACTTCGACTCGTTCTCAACCCAAACATACGAATCACTCATTTCCAATGAATACTCTCCTCTCAAGAAACCAAATTCAATCTCAGGATTCTCTAACAAGACATTGATCTCAGTTTCATAAGGATGACAATTCAAAGGTTTCTCTGCAATGGATTTCAAATTACAGAACATTAACAAATCAAAGTCACATGCAATTTCCATTAATCAAATCGCACCTATGGAAGAAGAAGACACATCTTCTTCGAGCTTCTTCTTCTTCAAGTGTTTGAATCCAGAATAAGAGTTATCAGCAAGAACACGTTTGAAACCAAACTGTGGCTTCAGTTCTGAATGCAGATAACACGAGCTTAGAGAAGATGTTTGCTTCCTCTGTTTGCCGCGCCGCCGCCGATATTGCGACACGATCAGAACCGTCGCCGCTACAAGAGAGGCTATGGAAATTACGATTTTGACCTTCTCTTTGACATCCATAGTTTCCTCTGTTCGTCAGTTCTGAGCAAATCTCCGGCGACCTCTTTTGCAACTCTCGTTGTCAATGGCTATAACGGCCCACTAATATCATGACACGTGTCTTAGTTTAAGTCCGTACCGATCCTGGCACGTGTCTTCTATAGACTGAACAGTCTCTTTAAACATTATGCTTTGCTCGGCCCAAAAACAACTCACTTTGCCCATAAAATTGACTTTATTCGGCCCAAAAATCTCAAAAGTGTTTGAATTTAGTAGTAGTACATAAATTCAACGACGCCAGTTCCAAACCAGTAGCTCATAACTTAATAACAATTTGCTTAAGTTATCTAATTGGCTTCATACCGAAAAAGTTGTAGAAACATGGAAGCAAAATCTTTCGTTGGATCGACCAAGCAAATTGTGAAGCTCATAGTACCAGATCGCAACGATATAAACTTGAGAACAATAGCTGAAGAAGAGTCGTGTAAACAGAAGTGGGAGAGCAAATAACATCACTTCTGCACAATGCCATAATGTGATTGATTGACCTAATTTTTATGAGTATTAACAAAAATCAAATTCCAAAACTCATATTTATTAGGATCGGAGTTCTCTTCTCGGTTGCTGGTGTTCGGGTAAAACAATAAAGTCTTGAGTGTTCTAATTACCTACGTTTAGTCCCTAATTCAAGTAGAACATATGTTTTCTACTTTTATGTATCAGTCGCATATATATTTTTAAATATGGTAGGATGTATATAAGACAAAATATTGAAATCGACAAAAAATTGCATAAATACAGTTTAGGGGATTTGGGGTCATTGACAGTGAGAGGTGAGTGTGAGAGTTATGGCAAGTTATGGGGCTCACTTCTTATTATATGTTAGTTATTATTTACTAATGGACATCCATACCGGTTTTGATTTACTATTTACTTGAGACAAATAAAATATAAAATTGGTATAGAAAAAAAGATATGTTTCTAAATTACTAATGTTCT